CACACTTCACACTTCTCACTTCTCACTGCTTCCTTCCCACTCCAAACTTCACACTCCAAACTTCACACTTCACACTTCTCACTTCGCACTTCACACTTCACACTGCACACTTCACACTTCACAGTCCACACTTCACACTTCACACTTCACAGTCCACACTTCACACTTCACACTTCACAGTCCACACTTCTCACTTCGCACTTCACACTTCACACTTCACACTTCACACTTCTCACTTCACACTTCTCACTTCTCACTGCTTCCTTCACACTCCAAACTTCACACTTCTCACTTCGCACTTCACACTCCACACTTCGCAGTCCACACTTCACACTTCTCACTTCACACTTCTCACTTCTCACTGCTTCCTTCACACTCCAAACTTCTCACTTCTCACTGCTTCCATCGGCAACTCATCCACCAGCACCACTTGCATCCCCATTTACAATGCGGGAACGATCCTACAGTTGCAAATCACAATGGAATTCTGTCGACCGCACATGCACGAAAAACAGTTGAAACCCCATTTACAATGCGGAACCGATCCGACCATGATCCGAGAATATCCGACCATGATCCGACCACACACGAGACCGTCTCGCACCCGTCGCACCGCAGAGGTAGATCATCGGCGTTCGGGGACGAACTTTGTATGGAAAAACATAGGGTTTCGTGCATCTGCTATCTCTCAAAAACGCATTTCGTGCGAGACTTCCTCCACAACTCCATCGGCAACTCCTCCACCACTTGCAATCCCATTTACAGTGAGGGAACAATTTCTTTGCTAACTCTTTCTGTGACTAACTCTTCCCCACACTAACTCTTGCTTTGACTAACTTGTTTCTTTGCTAACTCTTTCTTTGACTACCTCATATATCCTGACTAACTCTTTCTTTGACTGACTCTTTCCCTCACTAACTCTTTCTTTGACTGACTCTTTCCCTCACTAACTCTTTCTTTGACTAACTCTTTCCCTCACTAACTCTTTCTTTGACTAACTCTTTCCCTGACTAACTCTTTCTTTGACTAACTCTTTCCCTGACGAACTCTTTCTTTGCTAACTCTTTCTGTGACTAACTCTTTCCCTCACTAACTCTTTCTTTGACTAACTCTTTCCCTGACTAACTCTTTCTTTCCCTGACTAACTGTTTCTTTGCTAACTCTTTCTTTGACTAACTCTTTCCCTCACTAACTCTTTCTTTGACTAACTCTTTCCCTGACTAACTGTTTCTTTGCTAACTCTTTCTTTGACTAACTCTTTCCCTGACTAACTGTTTCTTTGCTAACTCTTTCTTTGACTAACTCTTTCCCTCACTATCTCTTTCTTTGACTAACTCTTTCGCTGACTAACTCTTTCTTTGACTAACTCTTTCCCTGACTAACTGTTTCTTTGACTAACTCTTTCTTTGACTAACTCTTTCCCTGACTAACTGTTTCTTTGACTAACTCTTTCTTTGACTAACTCTTTCCCTGACGAACTCTTTCTTTGCTAACTCTTTCTGTGACTAACTCGTTCCCTCACTAACTCTTTCTTTGACTAACTCTTTCCCTGACTAACTGTTTCTTTGCTAACTCTTTCCCTGACTAACTGTTTCTTTGACTAACTCTTTCTTTGACTAACTCTTTCCCTCACTAACTCTTTCTTTGACTAACTCTTTCCCTGACTAACTGTTTCTTTGCTAACTCTTTCTTTGACTAACTCTTTCCCTCACTAACTCTTTCTTTGACTAACTCTTTCCCTGACGAACTCTTTCTTTGACTAACTCTTTGATCCTACAGTTGCAAATCACAATGGAATTCTGTCGGCCACACATGCACGAAAAACTGTTGACACCCCATTTACAATGCGGAACCGATCCGACCATATCCGCCCATGATCCGAACATGATCCGACCACACACGAGACCGTCTCGCACCCGTCGCACAGCAGAGGTAGATCATCGACGTTCGTGGACGCACTTTGTATGGAAAAACATAGGCTTTCGTGCATCTGCTATCTCTCAAAAACGCATTTCGTGCGAGACTTACTCCAAAACTCCATCGGCAACTCCTCCACCAGCACCACTTGCAATGCCATTTACAGTGAGGGAACGATCCTAGAGTTGCAAATCACAATGGAATTCCATCGGCAACTCATCCACCAGCACCACTTGCAACCCCATTTACAATGCGGGAACGATTCTACAGTTGCAAATCACAATGGAATTCTGTCGACCACACATGCACGAAAAACAGTTGAAACCCCATTTACAATGCGGAACCGATCCGAGCATGATCCGAGACCGATCCGAACATGATCCGAACATGATCCGACCACACACGAGACCGTCTCGCACCCGTCGCACCGCAGAGGTAGATCATCGAGGTTCGGGGACGGACTTTGTATGGAAAAACATAGGCTTTCGTGTATTTGCTATCTCTCAAAAACGCATTTCGTGCGAGACTTCCTCCAAAACTCCATCGGCAACTCCTCCACCAGCACCACTTGCAATCCCATTTACAGTGAGGGAACGATCCTAGAGTTGCCAATCACAATGGAATTCCATCGGCAACTCATCCACCAGCACCACTTGCAACCCCATTTACAATGCGGGAACGATCCTACAGTTGCAAATCACAATGGAATTCTCTCGACCACACATGCACGAAAAACTGTTGACACCCCATTTACAATGCGGAACCGATCCGACCATATCCGACCATGATCCGAACATGATCCGACCACACACGAGACCGTCTCGCACCCGTCGCACAGCAGAGGTAGATCATCGACGTTCGTGGACGCACTTTGTATGGAAAAACATAGGCTTTCGTGCATTTGCTATCTCTCAAAAACGCATTTCGTGCGAGACTTCCTCCAAAACTCCATCGGCAACTCCACCAGCACCACTCGCAATGCCATTTACAGTGAGGGAACAATTTCTTTGCTAACTCTTTCTGTGACTAACTCTTTTCCTCACTAACTCTTTCTTTGACTAACTTGTTTCTTTGCAAACTCTTTCTTTGACTACCTGATATATCCTGACTAACTCTTTCTTTGGCTGACTCTTTCCCTCACTAACTCTTTCTTTGACTAACTCTTTCCCTGACTAACTGTTTCTTCACTAACTCTTTCCCTCACTAACTCTTTCTTTGACTAACTCTTTCTTTGACTAACTCTTTCCCTCACTAACTCTTGGTTTGACTAACTCTTTCCCTGACGAACTCTTTCTTTGCTAACTCTTTCCCTCACTAACTCTTTCCCTGACTAACTCTTTCTTTCCTAACTCTTTCTTTGACTAACTCTTTCCCTCACTAACTCTTTCTTTGACTAACTCTTTCCCTCACTAACTCTTGGTTTGACGAACTCTTTCCCTGACTAACTGTTTCTTTGCTAACTCTTTCCCTCACTAACTCTTTCTTTGACTAACTCTTTCTTTGACTAACTCTTTCCCTCACTAACTCTTTCCCTGACTAACTCTTTCTTTGCTAACTCTTTCTTTGACTAACTCTTTCCCTCACTAACTCTTTCTTTGACTAACTCTTTCCCTGACTACTAACTCTTTCCCTGACTTGTTTCTTTGACTAACTCTTTCTTTGACTAACTCTTTCCCTCACTAACTCTTTCCCTGACTAACTCTTTCTTTGCTAACTCTTTCTTTGACTAACTCTTTCCCTCACTAACTCTTTCTTTGACTAACTCTTTCCCTCACTAACTCTTGGTTTGACGAACTCTTTCCCTGACTAACTCTTTCCCTGACTAACTGTTTCTTTGACTAACTCTTTCTTTGACTAACTCTTTCTTTGACTAACTCTGTCCCTCACTAACTCTTTCTTTGACTAACTTTCTTTGCTAACTCTTTCTTTGACTAACTCTTTCCCTGACATTCTAAAAGTCCGTAACACGGAAGTTTCTCCCCCTAAACTTCCTTTGACAACCACCACTACACCACACTACACTCCAATACGTTACACTACACTACAACTACAACTACACCTTCACTACATTCTACTACACTACACTCCACTACACTACACTGCAATCAATTACACTCCATTACACTACACTACATTACACTACACTCCACTCCACTACACTACATTACACTACACTACACTACCTTCCACTACACTTCACTACATTACACCACACTACACTCCACAACACTACAACTACAACTACACAACTACACTCCACTACACTCTACTACACTCCACTACACTAAATTACACTACACTACACTACATTACACTACACTACACTCCACTACACTACACTACATTGCACTACACTACACTACCTTCCACTACACTTCACTACATTACACTACACTACACTCCACTACAACTACAACTACAACTACAACTACAACTACACTCCACTACACTAAATTACACTACACTACATTACACTACATTCCGCTACACTCCACTACACTACACTACATTACACTACACTACACTACATTACCCTGAATGACACTGCACCACAGATAGACGGGTAGACAGGTAGACAGATAGACAGATAGACAGATAGACAGATAGACAGATAGACAGACAGACAGACAGATAGATAGATAGGTAGATAGACAGATAGGTCATTAGATGAAAGAGAGAGAGAGAGAGATAGATCGATAGATAGATAGATAGATAGATAATTGCATAGATAGATGGATAGGTAGGTAGGTAGGTAGGCAGGCAGGTAGATAGTCAGAGAAAGAAAGAGAAAGAGAGGAGACCTCAAGCACCTTTCGGTCCATCAGTGGCTTCGATCTGCCATCCGTGATTCACAACAACCAACCTCTCCTATAGGTTTCCTATTTTTGAAACTTCCGCCACCGCCTTGTGCGGTACTACTGGTATACTTTTTCAACTATGGGGATACATATCATATTAATGTATAATATCGTATATTTAGCCGCTAGCCAAAAATTGGGGAGATCACCCAAGAAACCGTGGGAATGTCAAGCAATTTTGACTTTCACTTGGTTGAGCCACAGGGCCTCAAAGGCGGTGTCACCAGTGGCCTCAGATGTTGCACCAAAATCACTAGTGCTCCCCAAAAAGTCAAGTGGTTGAAACACCCTTAAAAATAGCCATCCAGGAACCATATGGAACCATAAACAACACATAAAATCATTTTTTGCTTTGATCTGTAGCCATACATGTTTCTGGCCGATAAGATGGTGCCATCTTTAATCAGACCTCGGCAGTCTCGCACGCAGCGGTGGCGGCACAACGAACTGTCGGAGCCTCGGCTATGGCAATGAGATTCCGGGCAAAAAATATCAAAAAGTATGAAAAGGCCACAAAGGGCCTTTTAAAGACCATGAAATTCCGTTTGAAATTATATATTCCATACATTCCGTTTAAAAACTTAGAGTCCACTCGTGCTTCACACCCCACCAGCGAAGAAAGGCCTCACTGAAGAAGGTTTCGCGAAGAATGCGACGCTGGGCATCTTCCAACTGGCAATAGGCTCGTACACCTCCGCAGTATGGGGTAAACATTCACGGTGCTGACACAGCCAAGATTTCCAGGTTGCACTAATTTTTTCACCAGCTCCAACTCCTACTGGATGCTTCAGGATGCTTCTGGGTCTGTCTCAAAATAGGGCACCTTAAATTTCATGGTTTATGAAAAAGTTATTGACATTTATTACCCAGGCAGTTACTTCTGCCCTCTAATGGAAGCCACTTAGACCCAAAGTGCCAAACGGTCACTTACAAGATCAATTATATATGTATAAGTGACCTCGTTTCAAGAATCCTTAAGTGACCTCTTTGCCTGGCTGATCACATGATTTCTGCGTGTCACTGCGTGTCACTTGCGTGTCACTGGGGTTTCGAGGTGGGATGAAACGAGGTCACTTAGGACCCTGAAAAGGTCACTTAAGCCTTAAAAAGGTCACTTAAGGATTGGCTGTCTGCGTGTCACCTGCGTGTCACTGATGGGCCACTTTCTACGTTTTCTTAACTGACCTCTTTCTACGTTTTCCTTAACTGACCTCCTTCCAAAGGCCACTTAGAAAAAAACACAAACAAGGTCACAAGGAATGGCCTGGAACTTATACAAAATGCATCATATTTTACCCGAATTGCCCCATCTTCAAACAAACCCTGGAGCGAGGATGGGCGGCTGCTTAGATCGGGACGAGCCAAATTCGTCGCACTCGGCCTAACGCGAGAAAAAGCATGTCTGTAAGCACTTGGGCCGATTTGAAGTCATCGAAAAACGGTGGCAATACACAAAAATGAGTGCATATGGAAACCAAGACGAAAAAACATCGACAAATTGACATCAAATCACGAACGAATTCTGATCACTTCAGCCGTCAGGCTGCCCCAAGGGCCACACGCGATCACCAAGGCCTTCTCTCGAAAGACCTGCTGACCAGCCTCGGCTGGGACGAGTTACACCGAGGCGAGGGACACCATGGGACCATTGTCCGTGCACCTTAAAGGAGGCCTTGGCTACAGCAGCAGCACCTCCTGGGACCAAGGGGAAGATAAGAGGGGAAAACCAACCATGTGATGGAGATATGATGAGGATAATGTAGATGTGAATTGGATAAATTCAAATAATTCACCCACCTGACAGAGTTTATAGACCATTTGGGAATGATTTCCCTTACTAAGCATCATCTAAATCACAGGTGACGTCGCAGTGAGGTCGTCATTTTTCCAAATATCATGAGGATAGTTTCTGTATAGTATGATAATTTACTGACTTGAAATTCGAGCTAGATTGTATATGGTGATTTATGGTAGAAATTAAGTATACAGTAGTTATACAGTATTTCGATGGAGGAAAGCAAGCCAACAAACCAAACTGGGGGTCTTCCGCAAGGACTCAAGAATCTGAGGTCCAGTCATTTTCAATTTCAACCATGTTCAATATCATTGGCCACATCAGCCGCATCGCAATGGTGTAGCGCTAAAAGGACAAAACGTGTGGTTCCATCAAGCCGCCACACTTGCCCTGCACCTATACCCATAAGAACCCCCCAGGCAACCTAGTTCTGGGAGGTCTTGTATGGAAACGTCCGCTGTATTGTCCTTGGGTTCAAGGACGCGGGTTGCTGATGAGGGTCAAAATGGGCCAAATCTGGGTCTCCCACCAACGCCATGGTGAGCACCGTCATCTGTGGAAGACTTGAACTGGCTACCGCCAACGTCAAAAATCGGACATGCCGACGAGTTGAAACTCGCATTCAATAATTCAATATGTTTTTGATGTTCGTAGTTGTGGATCGCCAAAACAACATCCAAGTTGAAAACTACGCACCATTGTGCTCAGCCAGTCGGGATAGGTTATCTATTTGAATCCTGGATGATCCCTGTTGCCTGATTTGAACGTGTGACCTTTGTGACTTCTGCTCAGCTTTGACAAGTCGATGCTCGGGGTCAGTGCTTCGTCCCCAACTTGCCAGATCCACGGTGTCCCAAAGCTTTCAGGGCAGACCCGTGCCACCAGGTCTGACAACAACAGGGCCACCCACATTCCTCATATTCCTCATAGATAGCCACTTTTTTGCCCAGAGTTGGTGTTTTCGTACGGTTTTGGGCACAGTTTGTGGTGAGCGGCTACGAACCATTTTTCCCCTCCAAACCGCGAAGCACATGTGGCGCATATGTGGCGCGGTAAATCTGCACAGCATGGGTATTCAGACAATCATGAAGTACAGTTCAGCCAGTTGGCCTGGCTCTTCGTCCACAGGCCGTGGGTTTCTCCAATAGTAATGTTTATGGGAAAAAAGGATCATCGACCCAGCTTTGCAACCCCACAGTTGTAAGGACTCCAGGTTCCAGGGTTCCATTCCGCTTGGAGTGGTTTGCATCCTTGATGCACCAGTTGCAGACCTAGAGATTGAAACCCAAGAGGCGATGTTGTTGAGAATAGACCAAGAAATTTAGGTTGGTTCCTGTTCACAAGGTGTATGTTCCCCGCAATGTCAAGTTGCACGTCCAGGACCCTCCCAGAGTCTCACATCTATCGCTCCACTTATTCCAGTTTGCAGGGGTTTTTTAATAGGTATCTGTCGGTTATCTATATCTAGATCTATCTAGATCTATAATGTATAGATAGATAGATAGATAGATAGGATAGGATAGGATAGGATAGGATAGGATAGGATAGGATAGATAGATAGATAGGTAGGTAGGTAGGTAGATAGGTAGATAGGTAGATAGGTAGATAGATAGGTAGATAGGTAGATAGGTAGATAGGTAGATAGATAGATAGATAGATAGATCCATAATGTATAGGCATAGGTATCTATTGATTATTAATGTATGTATACATCGACACACCAAAAAACAACAAACGATGATGGTCCCCCAGCCTTGAGCACTCCCGCGATTTAACATCGATTCAGTCACTGGATGTCGGCGCATTGGCAGGACATTCCCAGGTCCTATGAAGACCCAAAGGAGCCAAGGTGGTAAACACAATGACAGAAAGGTATAGCAAGGTACCATTTGGGGATGATAAATAACCACGCATGTGTGGTGGGATTGTTTACCATTCGGTTTACCACATTGAGTTACAGGCTGGGTCAGCCTCTTTGTCTCTTGGATGCTGGTACTATTTCTAATAAAAATTGCCGAGCTATTCCTGAAAATATACAGAACTATTTTTAAAATATACAGTCTCATTTCAAAAATATACAGAGCTATTCTTCACATATAGAGAGAGAGAGAGGGAGAGTGAGAGACAGATATAGATAGAACTACTTGCAGAAATATCTACAGAAACCTCCAAATAAAGAAGCTAATGCCGGACGTAAACATTAAGAACTCAACTTTCTTAAAGCACCTGGAAACCCATCAAACAGGACATACCGTACCAGGGCTACTAGGACACAACTGGAGGGAGGGCAAAAACGTACTTTGATCAAGTCGAAAGACCTTCCGCCAGAGTTCCCATCGCAAGGAGCACCCAGTATGCGTTCTGTACCCAGACTTGATGTGGCGAAATCCACTTCTCGAGTAACAGCGCTTGGCAGCTACCTTTGGCTGCGTGGGGTTCAACAAGCAACCTTCACTAGGAATTGGGCTGTTTTGGCAACGGGGTTCACCTCGGCTGACCTCCTGTGGAAATAGGTGTTCACTAGGAAATACGATATTCAAACGGACTCAAACCTGTGGATACCTCTAGACTTTCAGACAAATTGCGTTTGACTCCATCACTTCGAGTTTGCAAGATTCGTACTTCCATCCACGTCCTCGGAACGGGACACTTGTCATGTCACTGTGAACATCATCCGATTGCGGCTGCGCCCTTTTTTGTAGCTGCATTAGGAGTATCAGTTGCCAATTGAACTGGCGGCCCACATCCTTTGCAAAGAACGTGCCAAAAAAAAACTGCAGGGAGCCTACACACATCACCACCTTCGAGACAAGCCCAGATCTGGGGTGATGTTTTTTCCCCACCTGCCAGGTGAGGGTTGTTAGATTTTATCAGAGCTGTTCTTCCGCCTCCTCCTCTTCCTCCTCCTCCAGTTTCTCCTCGACCGTGTCTGCATCAACTTCCACGTCCACTTCCGCCTTGCCAACTCTTCGCCAATCTCTTCGCCAACTTCTGCTCGCAGTGGGCACTGCTGGACCTCAACTGCCGGCTTCGATCTGAGTGGGCACGGCTGGACCTCAACCGCAAGGTTCTGAGCGCAGTGGGCACCGCTGGACCTCAACCTGGGACCTTCCGAGCGCAGTGGGCTGCTCAGCGGGCACCGCTGGACCTCAACCTGGGACCTTCCGAGCTCAGTGGGCACCGCTGGACCTCAACGGCCAGATAGAATGCCAGAAGATATGCCAGATAGAACGCCAGATAGAAGGTCAGATAGAATGCCAGATGGTATGCCAGATAAAATGCCAGAAGATATGCTAGATAGGATGCCAGAAGATATGCCAGATAGAATGCCAGAAGGTATGCCAGATAGAATGCCAGATAGAATGCCAGAAGGTATGCCAGATAAAGTGCCAGAATGTTTGCCAGATAGAATGCCAGAAGATTTGCCAGATAGAATGCCAGCTAGGATTTCAGAAGATATGCCAGAAGATATGCCAGATAGAGTGCCAGAAGGTATGCCAGAACATATGCCAGAAGATATGCCAGATAGAATGCCAGATAAAATGCCAGAAGATATGCTAGAAGATATGCCAGATAGAATGCCAGATAGACTGTTAAATAGAATGCCAGAAGGTATGCCAGGTAGAATGCCAGAAGATATGCCAGATAGAATGCCAGAAGATATGCCAGATAAAATGCCAGAAGATATGCCAGAAGATATGCCAGATAGAATGCCAGAAGGTATGCCAGATAGAATGTCAGATAGAATGCGAGAAGGTATGCCAGATAAAGTGCCAGAATGTTTGCCAGATAGAATGCCAGAAGATTTGCCAGATAGAATGCCAGATAGGATGTCAGAAGATATGCCAGAAGATATGCCAGATAGAATGCCAGAATGTTTGCCAGATAGAATGCCAGAAGATTTGCCAGATAGAATGCCAGATAGGATGCCAGAAGATATGCCAGAAGATATGCCAGATAGAATGCCAGATAGAATGCCAGATAGAATTCAGAAGATATGTCAGGTAGAATGCCAGAAGATATGCCAGATAGAATGCCAGATCGAATGCCAGAAGATATGTCAGATAGAATGCCAGAAGATTTGCCAGTAACAAAACGTATAAATGTCATGGTGGGGATGACTCGAAGTAAAGTAATTTACTCCATAGAGTTGGTCATAAGAAAGGGTTTCATCATTATACAATAAAGTTCATGTTTAACTTTAGAATTAGAAAGCTAATATTTGATAGGACTCTACATCTAACAAAAAAAAGTGAGAAGAATTTACATCTGCAGTTCCCAATGACCTTAGAAACTTTGATTCCCTAGCCATGTCATGGTCGCTGAGGATCCTTTGGCATGGACTTCAGCAGCTTCAATCATCAGAGTGCCCAAGCGCTTGCCCCTTTCGGCAGCGTCCACCTGTCGAGCATGACTGCCCGCAGCCGTCCCATGAGGACGCCCCAAATAGCACTGCAATGCTAGCCAATTGCTCGCACAGTTGGAAAAACCCTGGCAATCTACCAGTCCAATGATTCGGGATGACTTTCGACCCAGCCTTGACGTGGGAAATGATCAGCTGATTGCTGTCTGTCCTGAGCGCAGCCTCAGCCGATCAACGCAGATCAGATGGTAGATCAAAACTGCGGATACCTCTTTACAATGGCGATTGTAATGGTGAAAATAGTGATCAACCATCAAATTTGGGATTACCCTATCTAAAGACGAACCCAAATGGTCAAACGTTTCATCTGTTTCCCGCCCCGGGTCAGCTACCATCGTTCATGGCTGTGCCTTTCCGTGCTGGCACAATGACACATTGGGTATGGAATCATATGGAATCTATGGTTAATCGGCTAGTTAAAGTGAAGATCTACAAGATACCGTTGTTTCTTTGTGCCCTCAAACGTAGGGGGCTCAACCATACATATATATATATACATATACATATTTACATATTTACAGTGTGTGCATCTGTGTCTATAAGTCAATCCATGACCAGCAGCATAGACGTAGCCCACTACCTCTCGGCTCTTCAGGTGTACTAAGCACAGGGTGAAGGCCGAGGCATTCCATACAGCTGCTAAGGTCTCCTTGGGCCGCGGGGTCGTGCAATGAACCTATATGGGATTTAATGGGATATCACTGGGGTATCAATGGGATCTATAATTGGGATACTCATGGCAATTAAGTGTCGGGACAATGGGGATATTAATGGGAAACTCATGCAATATCATTCGAAAGAACAGCAACAAAATGATGGGTGTGTTTGAAACTGGTGGCCTTTGACCCCCAAATAAACTGTTTAGATCATTTTAATGGGGAAAATTATGTTAAGAAAGGATTTGGCCATTAGAGTCCGTAATTATCACCATCACCCAAACCCACATCACAATACTATGGTATAAATGAGTAGATAGATACTTCCCTACGTTCTACGATGCAAACCCCCCATAGCTGGAAATGCGCCAACATGGATATGTCTCAAAGTAGGAAACCAAAAGGTTATTTTAAAAAAAAACGCCAGGTCAGGGTGAGGGTCTCTAGATTTTAACAAAGGCCTCCCTCACTCCTCCTTCACCTCTGTCTTCCTCGCCGAATCACTCCTGTCTCCCAGCTCCGGATGGGCCACGCCTTGACCCCAACACATGCCAGCGAGAATGTCAGATAGAATCCCGGACAGAATCCCGCATAGAATATATGTCCGGTGGAACGCCAGAAAAAATGCTGGGTAGAATGTCAGAACATATGTCAAATAGAATGCCAGAAAGAATGTCAGAAAGAATGTCAAAATAGATGCCAGATAGAATGTCAAAATAGATGCCAGATAGAATGTCACAATAGATGCCAGATAGAATGCCGCAAAGAATGTGAGAATATATACCAGAAAGTATGTCAGATAGAATGTCAGGGTGTATGCCAGAAAGAATGTCAGATAGAATATCAGAGTATGTGCTAGAAAGAATGTCAGATAAAATGGGACAATGTATATATATATAAGCCATATACACTTCCAGGCGATATGTCAGAAACTATGGCAGAACAGTGTGTCAGGTAGGGCTCACTCGAAGCAAAGTAACTTAAGCATTAATCCGTACAATGGTTCATCATTTCTCACCATGAATTCTGATGTTAAGGAATTCCTTCCCACACCTATATCATAAAAGCTGGTTACTGATCCCATTTATTTCCCTATTATAGCCGCGTGTATTTGTATATATACTAATACCACCATATCCTCCATGTATTGTTGGTAGTATTTCTCCGTCATACCCCCATCATATATCCGCATTATATATATATTATATATATACCCATATACTGGTAGACCTAGTCATCCTGGAGCAGATAGAATGTGAAACCTTCAAGAAAAATTCCGCTTAAATGTGAAGACTATTGAAAAATCCATATTCTATCTACTTCAGGATAATCCTACATAACTACATAACTATAAAGCACATATCATATCATATCATATCATATCATATCATATATGATATCATATCATACAATCATATACATATATATACTTATACCATCCCATATCATGACATCTCCCCATTCCAACCCAACCCCAACCCGCCATCAGCCCACACCTGTGTAGGCGCCAAGCCCTTGGAGTCTGGTTCTACGCTGGCGATGTTGCACCAGTCCTGGCAGTTTTATCGTCATTTTTGGGGGGGGCACGTGTTGAAAGTGATCTTAACATATCTTAGCTACCCTATAATTGTTTTAAAAAAAACGATAAGATGAAAAAACTAAACTCGACCTATTTTGATTTCATATTTGGCTATGTCCAAGAATGGATAGTCCCACTGTTTAGAGATGCACGTTCGCCATGTGTTGATGGCAAGTTTGGGCTAGACCCCATTTTCGGACAAACCCAAATGTTGGATAATGTTGGAAGGAAAAGCCAAGATTTGATGCTGACAAACCTGAGGTTCCAATCTCAAATCGAGCTGAATTTCATCATGCCACCCTCCCTACGCCTCAACAGAGAGGTTTGTGAACTCTTCCTGCTCACAGCAGAGCCTTGGAAAGGAAGCCCAGTGCAGCAGGAACAAGCTTCCTGCTGAATGAGGAAAAACATAGGCTAAGGTGACTAAGGGATGCATGATGTAAATGGAGACCATTAGTTTCTTGGCGTCATCCTGATTCCCTTTGGAGTGATATGAAAACAGAAAACACTCACTCACCTCAGAATTTTCGGACACAGAAACGAGGCATGGTCCACCACCAAATGCTTTTCCAGCACGCGGATGCGTGCAGCCACATACGCAGGTGGCTGTGCAACCACCGCATATTCACGGTTGGATGCTACCACTGCGCCAGTGTCCTCAGCAACATTTGTTGAATGGAAACAGGGCCGGTGGCGCCGGTGGCGCCGGTGGGGTCTATGCGCTAGGGTTGTACCATGCTGTACCTCACAACTCACTTCCCACTAGAAAAAACTGTGGAAATTTGATCCTTCTGTGCAGCTTATGCTGGTGAGTCTCGTCAGGCTGCTTCCCAACCTTGCGCCGCTTGACGATTTTGGTGCCTGGTTCTCTGCGGTGACAAAGAACAAACTGTAGCAAAGTCAATGGTCCAGTCCACGCATCAACTTCACAGTAGGATATGCGAATCTGTTGCCAGGTTAGGAGTCAGCGCATTGTACCAGAAAACACGAATTTTTGATAAGCGCTTTGGAACCGTACTATGCATCGCTGCATCACAACCACGCCTGAATTGGTTTACATGGCATCATGTTTGCATCACTCATCTTCAAGAAACAGGTTTGTCGCATAGATGAAAATGGTGCAAACTAAAAATTCCTTCCTACGGAGAAAAAATGTTTCACTATGAAGCGGAATTGGAAGAAGCGATGCTCACAGTGGTCCAACATTCACCTTTGCCACCATATTTCACAACCATCCATTAAGCAGTCATTTGGGTTTCATTTTACAGCGTGCCAAATAAGGTTGTAGAAACCCCAAGTGGGGATGGCAATACTATTGTTGGGTTTACCACTTTTAGTTAAGGATGACTGTCACCTTTCGGGCATCAACCGTCTCCAGGCTTTTGCTCAGTTGCACGGGGGATCTGCGGATGGCCATGTGTCTGCCCACGTCCGCAGCTGCGCCAAGCGTTCCGCAACTCGATCTGGGCAGAACCCAAAAAAAAAAATAGTTCTCAGGGATGGGCAGGTCAAGCTCGCAAAGGATCGCTGGCCTGTACTAGGTCAATTGCCACCGTTACTAACCCTGGCCTTGTGTTTCATCGCGCCGTCTCTTCCTAGGCACAGGTTGCATCAACTCCTTCCGGCGTCGAGGGCTCTGGCGCCCTTTGGTCTCACGGGCACGTGCACGCTGCACCATGGCGACTCAGGAGCCAACAGCCCACATTGATTGTTGGCTTCCAAAGAATACGATTCAGCTAGGATCAATCGGATCAATTCATGATTCATGCCAAAAGACATAGAAGAACTATACGAACTATAACTGTGTCCGTGGCTGTCGAAAGCTTGGAGAAGACATGTCGTGCGTTTTCGCACCAACCGCATCAATGTCTCTATGTGATGTGATGGGATGTGGTCACATGTGCTGTCATTCATTATGACGTGATCTATGTGATGCCATGTCAAGTGATCCAGTGCTATGCAATAACCTATAAAATTGATCTTGATCTTGCGCCTACGTAGGCAGTTCACATGGACACTAGTGATGGTGGATTTGGAGTTTCTCTCACACTGCAGCCACCAGCATAGTGGTCATTCCTTCAGCCGCAATCAATTCTGACTTTGCTGATGGGTGATGCAAGTCATATTGTCAGGGGGATTCAACCAAGCCCCTCCTCGCAAAAATGACCTGCCAAGTATCGATGGTGAATGTGCCCCTATTAGTGGTTGTTGGTGGTCAAAAAGCCCTGAACACCTTTGGGGGGGCGTAGTTGAGTCCTCATCTTCAGTCGGTCCAGAATTTTTTTTACACTGGTCGATGAGTATCACATGGCGCCACGAGAGTATGGAGGTCCACGACTGTGCAGGCAGCTCACAACTTCAATTGCTAGCTCTCTTTCAGTGCTTCACAAAACACTCTCCCGGGTTCACGAGTCATTCTCCTTGAAATTCTTCCAAAATGCATCCTGGCCTCTATGATATAAACTGATATAACAGTATAACAAGTATAACATATCATGACATTAGTGACTCCTCCTGGACCTCCATTTCAAGAGTTGAGATCTGACGTGGCGTATCCGGCTTCGCTGGAGCACGGTCCGGCTGAAGCCGCCTGGAACTTTGCTTTGCGGCGCGCTGCCGGGAAAATTCACACGGCTTCAGTAGCCCAAGATCTTGCCAAGGGGCAGACAACCCCTAGAAGATTCTCCTGAAATGCCCGAAATCAATCAAGAGGGCGTTAATAGTCTATAAATTATAACGATATTTAGCTCCAACTATGGCCCGAGAGCGTAGAGGAGCAGCGTCTTCTCTTGTTAGTATGGAGACACCATATTACAAACAATATATTGAAGATGTGTTATAGGCAGTCGAGAAGAGGAGTATCAAGACAAAATAGCAGAAGTGCAAGACAATAGTTTGCATCGCAAACACTTTTACACACAGAAGCTTTTACACACAGACGCTTTTACACACAAAAGCTTTTACACACAGAAGCTTTTACACACAGAAGCTTTTACACACAAAAGCTTTCACACACAGAAGCTTTTACAGACAGACCCTTTTACACACAGACCCTTTTACACACAGACGCTTGTACACACAAAAGCTTTTACACACAGAAGCTTTTACACACAGACGCTTTTACACAGACGCTTTTACACACAAAGCTTTTACCCACAGAAGTTTTTACATACAGAAGCTTTTACGCACAGACGCTTTTACACAGACGCTTTTACACACAGACACTTTTACACACAGACACTTTTACACACATAGACTTTTACACACAGACGCTTTTACACACAGACGCTTTTACACACAGAGGCTTTTACACACAGACGCTTTTACACACAGAGGCTTTTACACACAGAAGCTTTTACACATACACGCTTTTTACACACAGAGACTTTTACACACAGACGCTTTTACACACAGACGCTTTTACACACAGAGGCTTTTACACACAGACGCTTTTCCACACAGAGGCTTTTACACACAGAAGCTTTTACACACAGACGCTTTTACACACAGACGCTTTTACACACAAACACTTTTACACACAAACACTTTTATACACAGACGGTTTTACACACAAGCGCTTTTACACACAGAGACTTTTACACATAGACGCTTTTACACACATAGACTTTTACACACAGACGCTTTTACACACAAACATTTTTACACACAGAGACTTTTACACACAGACACTTTTACGCACAGAAGCTTTTACACACAGAGACTTTTACACGCAGACCCTTTTACACACAGAAGCTTTTACACACAGACGCTTTTACACGCAAACGCTTTTACACACAGACGCTTTTACACACAGACGCTTTTACACACAGACGCTTGTACACACAAGAGCTTTTACACACAGAAGCTTTTACACACAGAAGCTTTGACACAGACACTTTTACACAAAGCTTTTACCCACAGAATACTGCGAAAGGGTTGCTCCAGCACAAATCGCAATTCTACCTCAGTTTTTGCGCATCGGCCCTCATTTCGTGCGAAAGGGTTGCTCCAGCACAAGTAAAATCGCAATTTTTCCTCAGTTTTTGACGATCGACCCTCATTTCGTGCGAAAGGGTTGCTCCAGCACAAGTAAAATTGCAATTTTACCTCAGTTTATGACGATCGACCCTCATTTCGTGCGAAAGGGTTGCTCCGGCACAAGTCCAGCACAAGTAAAATTGCAATTTTACCTCAGTTTTCGACGATCGACCATCATTTCGTGCGAAAGGGTTGCTCCAGCACAAGTAAAATCGCAATTTTCCTCAGTTTTTGCGCATCGACCCTCATTTCGTGCGAAAGGGTTGCTCCGGCACAAGTAAAATTGCAATGTTACCTCAGTTTTTGCGCATCGACCCTCATTTCGTGCGAAAGGGTTGCTCCAGCACAAGTAAAATCGCAATTTTTCCTCAGTTTTTGCGCATCGACCCTCATTTCGTGCGAAAGGGTTGACGTTTCGTGACTCCCCGCCGGCACCACCCTCGGCCTAAAGAGTGAAAGATAAAGAAGGCGAGAGAGAGAAAAGGGAGAGAGAAAGGAGAAAGAGAGAAAGGAGAGAGGAAAGAGGAGAGAGAGAGAGAAAGAAGATGTGAGTATGTGAAGATGTGAGTGCGAGAGAGAGAAAGAGAAGATGTGAGTAAGAAGATGTGAAGATGAGAAGATGTGAAGATGAGAAGATGTGAAGATAAGAAGATGTGAAGATGAGCAGATGTGAAGATGAGAGGATGTGAAGATGAGCAGATGTGAATAAGAAGATGCGAAGATGAGAAGATGTGAAGATGAGCAGATGTGAAAATAAGCAGATGTGAAGATGAGAAGATGTGAAGATGAGCAGATGTGAAGATGAGAAGATGTGAAGATGAGCAGATGTGAAGATGAGAAGATGTGAAGATGAGAAGATGTGAAGATGAGCAAATGTGGAGATGAGAAGATGTGAAGATGAGCAGATGTGAAGATGAGAAGATGTGAAGATGAGAAGGTGTGAAGATGAGAAGGTGTGAAGATGAGAAGATGAGATACAGACCCCAACTATTGGAAGAACCCTGCGCTCAGACGCTCCCGGGAAAAAGGTATTGATTGATGTGGTGAACCCAAGTATAAACCATCCAAGAAAATGACCATAAATGGGTCGTGTATATTTGTTTATATAGGTAAATTTCATAGTCCATTCCCCCCCCCGGTTCACATTAAACTTTCATCCATGGTTTAGCAGGGGATTAACACATTGGGATCATGCAACATAAACTGATGACGTCATCCGCGTTGCTGAGTGGGAATCAACTGGTCAGCAGTCCTGAGATGCTGTGACCATTCTGCGCATGCTGCATGCTCTGCGCCGCAGCAAAATCCACTGTGCTGAAGATGTCCTTCGTACTGGAACAGCAGAACGGACCCCCCGAGCGGCCCAAGCAACTTGAAGTCGGGGCTTGAGACAGCCACATAGGAATGTGGAACACCAAATTCCTACCAATAAGAATCATTTTTCGGATTAAACAAAAAAACAAAATTGTGTATTCCCCGTTTTTTTTCCCAAATTTAAGTGGCCCCAGGTTGTTTCTTTTGGTATCGCCCAGATTGGGACAAACTCCCGAATAGACCGGTTCGTATACTCTCCAGCCTCTACAGTCTCTGCACGACGTATTCGCAGCACTGAGCCATCGCATCTAAACAAATACCTTGGCAGCACGCTCGTGTGCAACAAGCAGTGCAACATGGTAGGTTTGACCAAAAATGGTGGGATGTCCCAATTCAGAAAAACCTGATTGGAAAACTATTATATCCAAAAAAACAAAATGCTGATCAACCATTAGATTTCCTCAATTTTCCAGCAAACCCATGTACTTGGCAGCGAAGCCCTAGAAGGGTTCCTATGTTTCCCATCCGTTTCCCATCCGTTTCCCATCCGTTTCCCACACTCCCTCGCCAGAAGGCTCCGCCGATCGCGGCTTTCCGTTGTAGTTGAAGCCCATGGAATGGCCATGGGCACCGCTGTCGTGGATCACGGCCACGTCCCCGGGCCGAGGATCTGCATTGAGGCTGCGATCCACCGCGAACTTGTCGTTGTTCTCGCAAAGACCTGGAGATGTTTTGCAGTTTCAACTAGAGGAGACCCAGGACCCAGGGCACACATGGGCACACCATAGATTTTGAAGCCCCATTTTCACTACAAAATACAAACTCAATAAATGTCTGTTACTTACTTATATGATATATATATATAGATAATATATATTATGTATATATATATGTGTGTGTGTGTGTGCGTGTGTGCTTGTATATATATATACACCAGTATGATCCAGTATGTGTGCGTGTGTGTGTGTGAACATCGTGTAAATGAGGGCCTCCCACGACATCGTAGATGCCCGTCTTGGTGATGAGGTCCTTGCTGTTGTCGGGCATCTCTTTCTTGCGGTCCGGCAGCTCGGGCATCTGCTCACTGTTGGGAATGATGGTGATATGATGATACGCACCATACATGCCCGGCCGCATCAAGTTGGCCATGCAGGCGTCCAAACCCACCTGAGTCAGCTCAGTTTCCTCTTGACTGTTGAAGCATCCCAGCAAGCTTCGCCATAAAATCCCACCAAAAGTGTTAGCTTTCATCATATGACAGCCTTTTCACAACTAGAGAAATTCCATGAAAATCCTTTGCAGGCAAGCGGCGTAGTTTTTGTAAATCTTTTTCCGGTGGGTCACACGGCTCACAAGCATACCTGCTGGCCCTGTGATGTAGCGACCGCATTCAGTGACGATGCGCAGCTTCATTCCTTTGGGCTCGATCATCTCCTTGTAGATCTGCTGGATCCCGGAGCCCACGGCCTGAGGTACCCATATGTGTCATATGTGTAAATCAAGCAGGTAAGTTCTTTGTTGGATATGTAAGGTATATACTGAATAATCTTAATGCATCTTAATACACACACTTGCTCAGAAACATCTTATCGAATTACTGATGTGGAATGCATCGTACGTGCAAAAACACTTCAGTTAAACCTGACAGGAAATAGTGAATGGCCAGGCGTGAGAAACAGTGGAGAAGAATTCTTTCTACGTCCTTGCTAGATGCAACTGTTCCATCTGACGAAGTCAGCAGTAAATCAGATTGCGAAAACCGTACAGTGGTTTGGTTCGAAAAAAGTTGGAAAAACGACATGCCGGTACTTGGCGTAGCCGGTTGCCATTGATGGGAAAAGTGATAGCAGGTACGTCGATCCAGCGTCCCAGATCAATATCACAGAATGTCATAGCCGTCTTCGTTGGCTGCAGAACTATGACATTCCCTGCAGCCCCCTGCTAAGAAAGAAGTTTTACATCTTTTCAGATGGTTCACACACACACACACCCTCCCGCAGGAGGGTGGGAAATTAAGTTCCCGACCATGAAATGAAAATGAAGAGGAAGGGAAATGAAGATGAGGTGAAGATGACAATGAGATGAAAGTTACTTAACCAGGACGCAAAGAGGGGAACGCAAAAGAAGAGGGAAAGAGCAAACACCAACACATGAAACCTAGCCCAGAACGGGCGACCCTGGAAAGGCAAGGGAAAAGAAAAGCGGAGGCCGACGGAAAACGGAAAAAGACCAGCGGAGGAGGGGGAGGACAGAAGCGCCTGAACCAACCTGACACGGCGAAAACCTACAACAACCTCAGCACGCAACGGGCCAAACCTACCTGGAGAGAGGAGAACGCAAGAACACATGAAATAGGGACCCATGGGGAACAAGTTAATGACATGATACATCCACATTGCATGCAAAATTTCGTGATAAGGCTCAAAGGCCCTCGACTTTCATTTCAACCCCATCGACGGCTGTCAATAGTCAAATGAATTACATGCACAATTCAACCTCACCAAACAACCAAAAAGGAAGTGACCACACCTGTAAAGCATGTCCTCTTGCCTGGAGTTTCATGTGAAAAGGGCTGCGGTCAGCCTCTTGAGATAACAGAAAGAGTGTTGACGCGGCTGCAGTCTACCATCCCTTGAAGTTCAAGTAAAAGGTGATTCCCAGGCACAGCGGGCATCGTTTCAACACAACGACTTCGACAAGGTGAGAATCGAAAAAAGGCCAGCAGTTCACTCTACTTAGACGAATTACTAATTCAAAAGTGTAAATTCAGACATCGTTTTACCGTCAATTTTTAGCCTAGAAAGGCTTTCCCCGAAGGGCTCATACCACCTTGTCGGACAACGGTATGAGTGACACACTTGCTCAGAAACATCTTATCGAATTACTGATGTGGAATGAATCGTACGTGCAAAAACACTTCAGTTAAACCTGACAGGAAATAGTGAATGGCCAGGCGTGAGAAACAGTGGAGAAGAATTCTTTCTACGTCCTTGCTAGATGCAACTGTTCCATCTGACGAAGTCAGCAGTAAATCAGATTGCGAAAACCGTACAGTGGTTTGGTTCGAAAAAAGTTGGAAAAACGACATGCCGGTACTTGGCGTAGCCGGTTGCCATTGATGGGAAAATCGATAGCAGGTACGTCGATCCAGCGTCCCAGATCGATATCACAGAATGTCATAGCCGTCTTCGTTGGCTGCAGAACTATGACATTCCCTGCAGCCCCCTGCTAAGAAAGAAGTTTTACATCTTTTCAGATGGTTCACACACACACCCTCCCGCAGGAGGGTGGGAAATTAAGTTCCCGACCATGAAATGAAAATGAAGAGGAAGGGAAATGAAGATGAGGTGAAGATGACAATGAGATGAAAGTTACTTAACCAGGACGCAAAGAGGGGAACGCAAAAGAAGAGGGAAAGAGCAAACACCAACACATGAAACCTAGCCCAGAACGGGTGACCATGGAAAGGCAAGGGAAAAGAAAAGCGGAGGCCGACGGAAAACGGAAAAAGACCAGCGGAGGAGGGGGAGGACAGAAGCGCCTGAACCAACCTGACACGGCGAAAACCTACAACAACCTCAGCACGCAACGGGCCAAACCTACCTGGAGAGAGGAGAACGCAAGAACACATGAAATAGGGACCCATGGGGAACAAGTTAATGACATCATACATCCACATTGCATGCAAAATTTCGTGATAAGGCTCAAAGGCCCTCGACTTTCATTTCAACCCCATCGACGGCTGTCAGTAGTGAAATGAATGACATGCACAATTCAACCTCACCAAACAACCAAAAAGGAAGTGACCACACCTGTAAAGCATGTCCTCTTGCCTGGAGTTTCATGTGAAAAGGGCTGCGGTCAGCCTCTTGAGATAACAGAAAGAGTGTTGACGCGGCTGCAGTCTACCATCCCTTGAAGTTCAAGTAAAAGGTGATTCCCAGGCACAGCGGGCATCGTTTCAACACAACGACTTCGACAAGGTGAGAATCGAAAAAAGGCCAGCAGTTCACTCTACTTAGACGAATTACTAATTCAAAAGTGTAAATTCAGACATCGTTTTACCGTCAATTTTTAGCCTAGAAAGGCTTTCCCCGAAGGGCTCATACCACCTTGTCGGACAACGGTATGAGTGACACACTTGCTCAGAAACATCTTATCGAATTACTGATGTGGAATGAATCGTACGTGCAAAAACACTTCAGTTAAACCTGACAGGAAATAGTGAATGGCCAGGCGTGAGAAACAGTGGAGAAGAATTCTTTCTACGTCCTTGCTAGATGCAACTGTTCCATCTGACGAAGTCAGCAGTAAATCAGATTGCGAAAACCGTACAGTGGTTTGGTTCGAAAAAAGTTGGAAAAACGACATGCCGGTACTTGGCGTAGCCGGTTGCCATTGATGGGAAAATCGATAGCAGGTACGTCGATCCAGCGTCCCAGATCGATATCACAGAATGTCATAGCCGTCTTCGTTGGCTGCAGAACTATGACATTCCCTGCAGCCCCCTGCTAAGAAAGAAGTTTTACATCTTTTCAGATGGTTCACACACACACCCTCCCGCAGGAGGGTGGGAAATTAAGTTCCCGACCATGAAATGAAAATGAAGAGGAAGGGAAATGAAGATGAGGTGAAGATGACAATGAGATGAAAGTTACTTAACCAGGACGCAAAGAGGGGAACGCAAAAGAAGAGGGAAAGAGCAAACACCAACACATGAAACCTAGCCCAGAACGGGCGACCCTGGAAAGGCAAGGGAAAAGAAAAGCGGAGGCCGACGGAAAACGGAAAAAGACCAGCGGAGGAGGGGGAGGACAGAAGCGCCTGAACCAACCTGACACGGCGAAAACCTACAACAACCTCAGCACGCAACGGGCCAAACCTACCTGGAGAGAGGAGAACGCAAGAACACATGAAATAGGGACCCATGGGGAACAAGTTAATGACATCATACATCCACATTGCATGCAAAATTTCGTGATAAGGCTCAAAGGCCCTCGACTTTCATTTCAACCCCATCGACGGCTGTCAGTAGTGAAATGAATTACATGCACAATTCAACCTCACCAAACAACCAAAAAGGAAGTGACCACACCTGTAAAGCATGTCCTCTTGCCTGGAGTTTCATGTGAAAAGGGCTGCGGTCAGCCTCTTGAGATAACAGAAAGAGTGTTGACGCGGCTGCAGTCTACCATCCCTTGAAGTTCAAGTAAAAGGTGATTCCCAGGCACAGCGGGCATCGTTTCAACACAACGACTTCGACAAGGTGAGAATCGAAAAAAGGCCAGCAGTTCACTCTACTTAGACGAATTACTAATTCAAAAGTGTAAATTCAGACATCGTTTTACCGTCAATTTTTAGCCTAGAAAGGCTTTCCCCGAAGGGCTCATACCACCTTGTCGGACAACGGTATGAGTGACACACTTGCTCAGAAACATCTTATCGAATTACTGGTGTGGAATGCATCGTACGTGCAAAAACACTTCAGTTAAACCTGACAGGAAATAGTGAATGGCCAGGCGTGAGAAAAAGTGGAGAAGAATTCTTTCTACGTCCTTGCTAGATGCAACTGTTCCATCTGACGGAGTCAGCAGTAAATCAGATTGCGAAAACCGTACAGTGGTTTGGTTCGAAAAAAGTTGGAAAAACGACATGCCGGTACTTGGCTTAGCCGGTTGCCATTGATGGGAAAATTGATAGCAGGTACGTCGATCCAGCGTCCCAGATCGATATCACAGAATGTCATAGCCGTCTTCGTTGGCTGCAGAACTATGACATTCCCTGCAGCCCCCTGCTAAGAAAGAAGTTTTACATCTTTTCAGATGGTTCACACACACACACATATATATATATAAGTAATATCCCCCCGGATATACCCTTACAGGACACAGAACGCATTTGGTACGGGTCCATCAACACAGGTGCAGGGTGGCCATGGGCGGCCTGCACATCTATCACCTTCTCCTCTGGGCGATAAGGGATGCCAAAGCCACCTCCAAGGTTCACCAGTTCAATGGTGATTCCAAGTTTTTCCTTGATCACGAGAACTAGATTGAAAAGCATCCGAGCTGTCTCCAACAACTCCTCCGCCTTCAAACCTCAGATTTTGTGCGACAAAAATGCTGGCAGCTGGCAGCTGTCAACGAATATATATATATATACATATTTTTATGTATAATAATATATATATATTCATGATCTACAGGAAAAGGCAAAGCGAACAAACAACGAATCGAAGAGATTTGAAGACTCAAAGACAAAAAGAAAAAACCTGGCTGAAAGAATGGGTTTCGGTTTCACCTGCACCAGGTCACAGTTCGAGACTACCATGGCATGAAGGCCGAAACGCTTCACACCCAATTCCTTGCACTTGCGGTAGCCCTCTAACAGCTGGTCACTTGTTGTGCCAAACTTTGCTTCCTTAGGGTCACCGATCAGCACCTGAGAGACAAGTCACACAGTACAGGATGAGTCAAATTGGTTTCAGTTAGTCCAAAATCAGGATGGCACTTACAAACACTTACAGGTTGAATCCAAAATCACCTAAAATTGCAGGTCGCACTTGCCTTCAAGTTTGGCCTATTCCCATTTGAAATCAACCATAACCAACCCCACCGTCCAAGTGGCATTTCCCGTCCGACTGGGCCCTGGGTTGTAGCGGAAGCTCACCAGCTCTGGCAAACCATCAGCAGCCAGGAAGTCGATGTGGGAGATGTCGTCCAGGTTTACCAGGGCTCCCAGCTCTTTGGCCTTCCTCAGTTGACGTCACCAGAATGAATGGAATAAACACCGGACAAGAAACATGGTTTCGGGGGGTACAGTGGTGTTTTTGGGGGAAAGGTACCTGGATTTGAAAAGCCCCTTGGTTTGCTTCCCAGCCATGACCAATCTGTTTCTCGTTGCTGAAACAATTCCACCAGCCGAGCCTCTGGTATTCCTTGAGGGGCGTGTTGTTGCCTTGGCATGGGGGAAGAACAATGTATCACCCAGCTCAATTGTGGAGATTTTGGAATGAGTCTCAGGCGCAGCCGCCCTGGCTTCCGCAGTGCCTCATTTCAACCAAGTTACTCGTAAACATGATATCCTCACCAGTCAGCCCCATTCGTTCGGACAAGACCAGTTCTGTGTAACTGGAGCAGTCAGCACCACAGCCTCGCCAAAAAAAAAGCACCCTTCAAGGCATGGCTGTTCAGGAATTCCACTAAAGAGTGAAGACCGCATTACCTACTACAATTCACCATACGTTCCAATTACATCTGTCGGAACAGCATGTCTCCACGTCATTTGCTCAGTCTGCCCCACTCTCCTGCCTTCCTCTTTGAGGATTTGCATGATGTGCGGATTGGGCGTAGCCTTTACTGCAAAGTGGTTTTTGTAGCCTGGGCACCAGCTGAAGGCTTTGTTCAAGCCCCTGACGGTGTTCCGAATGGTCTCTTCATGGTAAAGATGGAAAGGTGTCGGAAGTTGCTTCGCCAGTTCCAGGATTTGCGCATTGTTGTAAGGAAAGTCTGCGATCTTCGGCATGGCAGAGCTCCCTTGGATCTGGATCGCCTCCCTTTTGTACTAGATCCACAGCTGCCGAGCCCAAAAAGTGCATCACATGCTGCGTGTGTACAGCCAGCCGAAGCAACAGATAGATCAACTAAATCCCCATTCTCAATGGGAAAACCAAAAGTTTGGGGTACCCCTAGTGTAGCAAATCCCCCAAATAGACAAGACAAGATGAAAAGAGCGATCAAAAATCGTGACTTTGCGCGCACGGGTATGTCCTGGATTGTCATCACTGTGTGCATGGGCATGCTTATTCTATTGCCACACAAACAGTCACCAACTGGTTTTTGAACCCTGTGTTCACCAAAGAAGGTCACCTGAATGCCTTTTTATTGCGACCATTGGCAAAGCTGACATATCCTACGCTACGAGCATCTGCAAGTGCTCAACTACACTGTTCCACTCCAGATGTCAAATGGACAAGGGCTCCCTGTTGGAGATCCCATGTCTGGAGTTTTCAAGGCAGATGGAGCTTTCGTAAATGGTGGACCCCTTAAAATCATCCAAGACTTGTCCTTTTTAATGGAGAAAAGAAAACAAAAACCATTTTCGGTGTGAAAGGGGGTGCTCCCATTTTGGAATCCCCCACATCGAACTTTCACATCATCCTCTTGCACTTTTCACGAGGCGAGCATGAAATCACTGCGGCTACCTCTGCTTGCGCTTGCCCTTTGGCACAAGCAGATCGATCAAGCATTTCACCTTGGGTGAGAGATAAGATGATTCCTCTTGGAAAATGTGGTAACAAGAAGTCAACACAGCAAAAATTCCAGTGAAAATTCTCTCAACTGTGGTTTCTAAAGGTCATTTTGCAACTGCCACTGGTCTCCATATTGCAAGTTGCTAGCCACACGGGAGCCACGATCGCCATGGGAACCTCGGTGGCATCAGCCTCGCTGCTCAAAGCTTCAGCTTTTGCCGAAGATTCGTTGCAACTGAGCCTCCGCTGTCACCATGGCACCTCCGGGACACAGAAGCAGGCCATACGCGGTCACACGAAAGAATCAAAGCTTCACGGCCTGAAAAGAAGGTGGCCAGTAGCTCATCCCCGCGTCTGATGTACCTCCATCTCCTTGCGTTGGTCAATTGTTGTGCAAACAGGATCTCAAGCATCCCCTAACACTGCGGCCTAGGGTTCCACGAAAGGAAACAACCCTCAAATTTGATAACAAAACTCTAAAATGCATCAATGATAGCCAAATTCCATTCAAGAGTATTCAAAAGTATTCAAGTCCCAAACCAGCCCTGAGCCGCGGACAACAAAATGCAGGTTGATGGACAAGAAGCTGCTGAGTAGCAGGGCCGGGACGCGATTCGCAGAAGGAGACCCACCACTCTCCTTGGCAGAGTGGTCGCCGCAGCCATGGGAAATTCATCGTGTTTCAAGCAGAAATTCTCTAAACTGTGCCCAAAAAACGGAGGGGGAGAAACTTTCGAAACAAATGCAGTTACGGCAATTCATATTTCATGCACAGATCGAAAATGGTGAAGTTGTTGAAGCCAGGTAGCAGCGGCAAACCACCTCAGCACTCAAGTTGCAACAGCTGGTTGGTGGTTTGGTCAGCCATCCAAGCTATGCCAGTGAATGACTATCATGATCCCAAATACCGAAATCAAGATTGAAAACCCAGAATTGTTTGAAACCACTATATTAACACTATATTAACCAGAAGACCTTGTTGGCTGAAACCATTCCTGCCAAGCAACAGCACTAGCCCAAAGAAGCTGAAGAAGAGAAACGCAACAAGAAATCCGCTGGCAGCGCAGGCCAGGACCACGCGGTCGTATGACATGTGCTACGCATGGAACGCAGCGAAATTCTGTGCTGATGGTGCTCTCTAGCATTTGTGAGCCATGGAAGTCCGCTTCGCCACAGCAACACAAGTACCAAGTGTTTCCACATCAGGCAGTGCAACTTGAGAACTGTGTGTTGTGTCTCCCTGAATGCCTTTGATCACAGCTTTCGGAATTCCATGACTGAGCCGCACGCCAAGAAAGGAAACAAACATGCAAAAAACACTCCACAAATAACAAATCACCCCTCCCTCCTGATGCCAAAGCTGATGCCAGCCACTTTTCCATCACCCTCTCTGGACCTCCACTGTACATGAGATTTTGGCCTCACCATTGCAGCCTTTTATTTGATACGCTTGAAAAGATAAAACCAATCCTCTCGCAGCAGCTTGAACCCTCTGCTTCCCTTGGGTTTTTTCGCGCTCACTTCCACTTGCTCAGCGGTGATTTTTTGCCCTGTGCTTGTCACAAAGCATGATTTCAAATCTTTGGTGTCTAGTTTTTTGCTCTTCATATCATAGACTCCCAGCAATGCGAAGCGTTTGTCCAACGCGACCGTGCGAGCATCAAAATGAGCATCTGAGACCAAGAAATATCCTCCGATTCGCAAAAAGCGGGTGCATGGCTTAGAAACGATGCCGGCACTCATGGAGATGAGCAAATCAAAGCCACCAGGCAGCTTCAGATGCTCGAAATCATTGAGGCAAAACTTCATTTTTGCCTCTGCAGCGTACAATTTGTTCTGCTTGATCCAGGCGAGCACAGCTGGATCTTCAAAGAATGGAACAACTTTCTGGTTGTAATCCACATAGGTCACATCTGGAAAAACCACAGAGGCCTGCAAGTGCCAGTGACTGCCAGGGTACAGAACCCTTTTTGCCTTGGCAATGCGCTGCACTTCCTTGAAGAGTGGAAGATGAAAATCCTCCAGGCCCTTGTAGACCTTGAGCAGTTTGGTCAAACATCCCGATGACAACTTTGCCTGGGATGCCTTGGCCTTGGCCTTGGCCGGTTTTTTGATCGCCCTGACCCCTGACCGCGGAGGGACTGCATGGGGGGCCATGGCGCTAAGGACAGTTGGTTTGGAGTTCGGCAATGAGATTGAGATGTTAGATGTTTGGACCATTGGATGATGCCTCTGCAGACAATAAAATACAACAAGTCATCCTCAAAGTCACCCACCACAGAATCACACGAAAATTTTGAATCATCAGTGTGGCTATCATTGCTTCTGTTGTTGGTGGCCATGTTGTTGTCGTTGCTTCTGTTGGTAGTCAAACCAGACCATTCCAGCTGATCCTTTAATATGTATGCGCTCCGTATTGCAGAGTATCAAGGAACACAGCAACTCGTCGTGCTCAAGCCAAGGCTATCAACTCTCCGAGTATCCCGTCTCTGTCTGCAAATTGGAACATTCTGAACTGACTGTTGGGAATACCTGGCAGCAACTTTGCACAAACTAGCGCTCCCAGCGATTCTTGGGAATATTGTCAAAACCTCAAGTGCAACCTCAAGCCATGTAACCTCCAATATATCTATATATATATACATTCCAAAGCCAAAACGAATCCGCAAATCTTGATGGCTGCTTACAGTAGTGGATGACCGTATTACTGGTGCTGCTGCCTCTGCTGACGTCTGGAAAGTGACTAAATGACCGACGATGATTTCGATGATCCACCTGCACGATACTTTTCTCACAATCTCGCGGCAACCACAACCACAGGTCTTCGTCAGCTGCGACGGACTGCAACTCCCAACCTGGGGGAGTGTGGGGAAGTTACGAGTTACGAATGGACCAGGAGCGTAGAGTTGTATCCCAGCAATTCGCACAGATACCACCGGTGCTCGTGGCTCATGGGCCCCGACAATCAAAGCAAGCTTCAAGTCGTGGATGAAGTGGAATGCCACGCTGCCCAACAGCCCTCACAATAAACACCTCGTTGTCCAATAGCAAGATCCTTTTGCTGATGGAATGGCCGGATTTCCCGATGGAGACTGCACTTGGCTGCTGACAATCAGCATACTGTCCAGTGCCAAGACGACTGCCACTTGAAATCGTCACCTGTCCAGCCGTCCACTCTGATCTTGTTGGAGACTGTCAACCAGAGACATGCAATGGCATTGACAGTCCAGGCTTTGAGCGTTCCTTCTGGAATCTTTCGAACATGTTTGTGACATTATTTCATGTAACACTTGGCACTCAGAAGACACCTGCCTGGCATTGCTGGCAGCCTTAGGGGTTGTAAATGCCAGATACCCACTTCATGGCGTCAGATATCTGAGACCGAGACGAAAGGAATTCGTGGCAGATGAGGGATCAGCTTCCTGCAATCAGTGGAATGCATGCAATCATTGCGCTGAATCAGAGTCCAATGATCAATGACCCTTGGCATCAAAGAGAACTGACACACATGTTGCACCCAGACCTCCTCCGGCTCACCACGCACCTGGTGCAAACGTTTGAAACAAGAGGATCTTTTGGAACTGATCTCCCGCTACGATCAGTTAATCATCACTGAGGCAGCCACAATGGAACGAATGCGGTCCTCGGAGAGTCTCTATGTCAGGAAGCATTGTGTTGGATAGCTGCCATGCTAAGGGTCCCAACCGTGAAGAATTCGATGGCAGATTTGTCAGGACACCTCGGCCAAGTGGATCCTAAATCGCTAGTCACTCCGTTGGAAAGTGTCGTTGTTGAGCTTCCACACTCTGGGGTCGTGAAACTGCTGTGCCTGCCATGAGAATATCTGCTTTGAAAGTGTTGCTGCCTTTAACGTGTGTATGTCGATAGTTCTTCACGCTTCCAGCTTTCCACCTCTGCATTTTCTTGCGGTTCAAACTCCCCGTGTTGGGAAAGTTCAGGCCGTTCAAGCTAGCTCCAGGATGCTACTGCCCTGAAGGTCTAAGATTCTAACCCTGCTTAAGCAGCTTCATCACTAGGCCGTCCAGCGGCCCTTCCCGGCGGTGTTCTTGACCGGAGCTGCTGGTCGACACCTGACCAATGCAGCAGGCGCTGTTGCGGAGCATCCTGTGCTCTACTGCGATTCTGAGGGGCTGACTCACCCACCGCTTGCGCTTGCGCCACCAATCTTAGCTGCCGACTAGGTCATGCGTACATGTGTGGAAGGCCGTCGTTGGGTTATCCGCAGTTTCTTCGTGGCTCCCATCTTTGCCGGGGTGCTGCTCCACTGGTTGCCGGAAGGCTCGCCAAGCGCAGGCCCAG